TGACCAGCCAATAGATAGACGAAGGTGCTCATTCTTCTTGTAATCATGGAAATGGCCGTCAAAGTATGGAGATACCACTTTATGTTCTTCATAATGGCAAAAATATTTCAGTCTGACAAGATCAAATTTGTACAAGGCCAGAAAGCAGTGGGAACTCTCATATACTGTATAAATGGGTGCAACCACGTTGGAGAACAGTTTAGCAACATAAAGCATTGAAGGTGTTCATACCCTTGAACTCTAAAACCCATTCCTAGGCAGTTTCCTAGCAATGGGCATTAGTAGTGCATGTGCATAAGTAGTCATGTTTAGTAACCCCCACTTACCATCGTTGGTAAAGTCTTGTTAACTAACTTTAAGTGAAACCATGTACAGTAAATCCCCCAATAATGCCATTTTGTTATGTTGATGAGGAAGAAAAATTGATTTCATTATACATTATTTTGCTTGAAGTTGAAGTTTCCAAGAAGCTGTTGAGGATAGGTAAGAACTTAGTGTACAAAGACGTCAATTGCAACATTGTTTAAAACAGTATAAAATGGGAAAAAAATGTAAATAGGCATCAATGGAAGATTGAAAAAGTAGATTATGCCATATTACTACAATAACATATAATAATGGGTTAAAATAAATAGTTATATGGATCAGGGTAGCTAAATATCAGTAACTTTTTTTTTTTGAGACAGAGCGTCAAGCTATCCCGCTAGGTAGAGTGCCGTGACATGGCAGCTCACAGCAACCTCCAACTCCTGGGGTCAAGCGAATCTACTGCCTCCGCCTCCCAAGTAGCTGGGACCACAGGCGCCCGCCACAACGCCCGGCTGTTTTTTGGTTGCAGCCGTCATTGTTGTTTGGCGGGCCCAGGCTGGATTCGAACCCACCACCTTAGGTGTATATGGCTGGTGCCTTAGCCACTTGAGCCATAGGCGCTGAGCCTATCAGAAACATTTTACATTTTTCCAGTACATTTTACATCTATTTTTGGAGTGAAACATAAGCTTAATTTGTCCATTATATTTATTTTTTTTTTTAGAAAGACTGTTGTAAGACTGTTATATTTTTAAAAAAGGAAGTCTGTTAATGAGTTATTTAACAGTTACCACAAAATGCCAGCAGAGTTTTGTGTAAGACTTCACAGCCACTTCTCTATAAACCAATGGGAGAAGACTGGCAGGTTGGGCCTTCAGCCTGTGATTTCCTGAGGTGGGGACAGGTATTGAATAAACAGCAGGCATTTTAGGGAACATGTGAACAGTCCTGACATACCTTTTTATTTTGATACAAATTATACCTTTAGGTCATCATAAAATTCGTATAACATAAAACTCAGCATTTTAACCATTTTTAAGGATACAATTCTGTGACATTTAGTATATTTACAATGCTATGCAACCAACATCTAGTTCCAGAAAATTTTCATCACCTCCAAAGGGAACCCCGTGTTCAGTAAGCAGCCCCTCCCCACTCGCCTTTCTGCCCGGCCCCTGGCAGCCACTGAGCTGAGCTGCTTCCTGTCTGTGAATCTGCCTGTTCTGGACATTTTGTATAAATGGGATCATACTACACGTGGCCTTCCACGTCTGGTTTCTTTTATTAGTGTAATATTTTCAAGGTTCCTTTATACTGTGGTATGACCCGTGGCTCATTTATTCTTTGTCATGGCACACGGTCGTCCCTTGCACGGATAGACTGCCCTTTGTTTGTCCCGCCGTCAGCTGCTGGACATTTGTCTGGGTTTTCTCCACCTTGTGGCTATGGTGAACAGTGCTGCTATGAACATTAGTGTGTAAGTTTTTGCTTGGACAAATGTTTGACATTTCTAGGAATTGAATTGCTCGGTCATAGAGTAATTCAATGTTAACTCACTGAGGAACAGCCTGGCAGTTATCCGCAGAGGCCGTGCACTGTACGTTACCACCGGCCGTGTGCAATATTTGGTTTTTTTTTTTTTTTCAGCCATCCTAGTAAGCGAAATCTCCCTGCAGTTTGGATTTGCATTTCCCTAATGACTAATGATTTTGAGGATTTTTTTCATGTGCTTGTTAGCCATTTATATAACTTCTTAGGAGAAAGTTTTGTTCAAGTCCTTTGCCCCTTTTTAAAATGAGTTGTTTCATTTTTATTGTTGAGTTGTAAGAGTTCTTTCCATAGTCTGTATCCTGCATCTACAGCACGGATCAGATACATATTTGCAAATGTTTTCTCCCATTCCGTGTCATCTATTCACTCTCTTGGTAGCATCCTTTGATACACACAGTGTTAATTTTTGATGAAGTTCAGTGTATCTGTTTTTTTGTTTTGTTGCTTATGCCTTTTGGTGTCATATCTAAGAAACCATTGCCAAATCAAAGATTATGAGTATCTACCCTATATTTGCCTCTGAAAGTTTTTTTAGCTCTTGTATTTAGGTCTTTGATTAAATTCCAGTTGGTGGGGTTTTTTGTTTGTTTTTTTGAGACAGAGTCTCACTTTTTCATCCTAGGCATCCCATACAAGTCTGGACAGTTTTTCTATTTTCAGTAGCGATGGGGGTCTCACGGGTCTCACTCTTGCTCAGGCTGGTCTCGAACTCCTAAGCTCGATGGATCTACCTGCTTTGGCCTCCCAGAGTCCTGGGGTCACAGGTGTGAGCCACCACACCCAGCCTTGAGTTAATTTTTATTGTGGTGTAAGATAAGGACTTAACTGCATTCTTTTGCAGATGGATATCCATTTGTACCCTATCAAATGTTTTTAATCATGAAATGGTAAAACACACATGGCTATTAACAGGAAGTTAAATGGTATTGGATTTTGTCAGATTCTTTTTTTTTCAGTTGAGAAGATGGTGTGGTTTCCCTTCATCCTGTCAACGTGGTAGACTCCGTGAGGTTCCCAGGGCTGCCGTAGCAAAGCTCCACACTCTGCGGGCTTACAACAACAGAGATGCGTTCTTACAGTTCTGGAGACCAGAAGTCCAAAGTCAGTAGGGTTGGTTCTGTTGGAAGGTTCTCAGAGAGAGTCTTTCCTTACCTCTGTCCTAACGTCTATAGACCCTCCAGGCAGACTTTTGAGAGATCCTTTTCTTCTCCTGTTGAGTCCCCTGGCCTGACTCCACTCACTGTGAGCGAGCTGTGAAGGCCACTATGAAATGGGCCCCTCATGAGCCACTAGTGGCAGGGACACACATTGTTCCCGGAGAGCGCTCTGTGCTTCTGAGGACTTGATGGAATGGACAGAAACTTGAAGAATGAATATATCACATTTATATCACACATATCAACAATTTCAGATATAAATTGGTTAATTGAAGCTGGGTGCAGTGACTCACACCTACAACCCTAGCACTCTGGGAGGTGGAGGCAAGAGGATCACTTTAGCAGCCTGAGCCAGAGAAAGTCCTGCTCTCTACCAAGTTAGGACTGGTGTGCTCCCACCGAGTGGCACAGCGTGAGGGTATACCACACACTTCCTGGGTTTGCGACACAACTATAATGGGGACCTTAACAGCACAGCACTGTAACCAAATCGTTTATACACTCATGTTAATCTGAAATTAAAAAACAAGTTAGCTAGGCAGGGGAGCATGCACCTATAGTCTAAGCTGCTCTGGAGGTTGGAGGAAGAGGATTGCTTAAGTCCAGAAGTTTCAGGTTGCTGTGAGCTATGAAGATACCACTGCACTCTAGTCATGGCAACAGAGCAACACTCTGCCAATGAAAGAATAATTTTATACTTAAAAACAATTAAACATTTAAAAATCAAATAGCTAGGCTTGGTGGCTCATGCCTTTAATCCCAGCACTTTGGAGGGCAGAGGTGGGAGGATTTCTTGAGGCCAGGAGTTCGAGATCGACCTCAGCAACACAAAAAGAGCCCATCCCTACAAATAAAATAAAATAAATAAAGTAAAAATAAAAACATTCACAAATAGGTAGGAAGGATGAAGTACAGTAATGAGTCACTTAACAATAAGGGGCTGTTCTGAGCGATGCATCTTTAGGTGAGCTCCCTGTGGTGTGCGCTAGAAACCATCACAGCGGGTACGTACACATACTTGGCCGGGACAGCCTGCGACGCCCCGTGTAGACAGCGTGTTGCTGCACTGAATACCCCAGGCAACTGAAGTTCACTGGCATTTGTATCTAAATAGATCTAAACACAGAAAAGACTAAAATACACGACAGGATTAAGAATGGCCCACCTGTGTAGGGCACTTACCATGAACGGAGCAGGCAGAACTGGACATTGCTCTGGGGGAGGCCGCGAGTGATGGGGAGTGAGCACGAAGGCCTGGGCGCCTGTGCATCCTGGAGACTTTAGAAGCACTGTATACTCGGGCCACACTACATTTACTGAATTTTTTTCTGTCTTTAATAATAATTAGCTTACTGTATCTTTTTTTTACTTTATAAACTTTTTAAAACTTTTTGACTCTTGTAATAACATTTAGCTTAAAACACAGATTGTACAGCTGTGCAAAACATTTTCTGTCTTAGTATCTTTATTCTATAAGCTTTTTTCTATTTTTAATTTTTTTTTAACTTTTTAAACCTTTTTGTTAGCCTAGTCCTACACAACGTCACTATGTCCCCCTCCACATCTTGTCCCACTGGAAGGTCTTCAGGGAAATAACAGACGAGGGGCTGTCATTTCCTAGGACGACAGTGCCATCTGTACAGCCTCCTGAAGTATCGGCCTGAGGCTGCTGCCAGGGGTAGACAGCACCATGCTGCTCCTCACCCGTCGGGGGTGGTTTACACCAGCGTCTGCACAGACACGTGACGTGTTGCACTGCGCGGCACAGCTGCCAGGCTACCAGCCAGCAGCACAGCAGCTCCACTGTCATTGTAGGGGCCACCGTCTTGTGTGCGGTCCATTGTTGACCTAAATGCTGTTAGATTCTGTGTGTCTGTTGACAGCCTCGTGGGCAGTGTGGCCAGTGGCTCTGTGTATGTCAACAAGCCTGTGCCCCCTGGGGTCTGCGCTCCTGGCCTAGGTGTTTGTTTCTTTGTGTTTCAGGTGTTTGTGGCTAGTCCTCACAAGACCCCTCCTATTGTGGAGATTCTGTTAAAAAATCAGCCCAAACTCATTGAGTTTCTGAGCAGCTTCCAAAAAGAAAGGACGGATGATGAGCAGTTCGCTGACGAGAAGAACTACTTGATTAAACAGATTAGGGACTTGAAGAAAACAGCACCCTGAGGATCTCACTGTGCCTGCCACAGTCGTCGTCTCACCAGTCCAGTCTGTACAATAATTGTCATTTCAAAAAGTCATCATTCCGGGGAAGGCTTTGGAGGGCCCTATTTTTTCTCAATTAATTGTTCAGGGTAGATGGAATATAAACATATAAGTGGAAAAAATTAACCTAGAATAATATATGCATTTTAATCAAGTCTGTGATTATTTATGTCATATCAGAGCCATTGCATTAGATGTTGATAAAAGCAGTTATAATGTGCAGGTGGGAGCTCTCAGTCGTCGGGAGCCACCAAGTTGGAGCTCAGGTGACAGGCACCACCCAGTCTTCAGAGGAGAACCAGGAAGTGGCCAGGTTGCAAGAGCGCTGTGCCTTACTGCAGGTAAACAAGCAAATTGCTCATAGCACTGGAAGGTCCCAAAAGATAAGGCTAATGTTTTCAGTATCCCTTTGTCCCTGCTTGCTGTCTTTGTGCTGTCATAAGTGGGTTTGCACCTCCCGGGGAAGCAATGCACACCACCCATCCCAGCCTCCTCTGCTCACCCATTGCCCACGTCCCATCCCAGTGCGGCTCTTCAGCCCACGCCTCACACTTGGGTTGACATGGGTGAGTAAGACCAGGATGGACCAGTGAGGGGAGCAGGGGGCATAATAGACCCCTGGGGTGTGTCCTACTCACTGGAGAAGTGCCCACAGATAGTTCTAATAATGTCACTGCTATTCCTTGTTGACTTCTAGAGGGCCAGTGGGCGTCTGAATATTTCATTCATAATTGTCATCCTGGGAAGGATGCTCCATGCTGAAAGTGTGCCTTACAGCAGGAGTTGGTGCAATGGGATGCCAGCCGGCACAAAGCCACAGGCCCAAAGAGTCTCTTGGTAGGGGAACTTTATCAATAGGGAATAATTAAATCCATGAAAAAATTCTCATATCACTAAAAATTCTTCTTTTTTCCAGTTTATTTTCTATTAAGATATCATACAATTGCCCCTCAAAGCCTTCAGCAAAAAGGTAGAAAGCATATAAAATGTTGGTCTCAGATGTTCTCTTGTATATTAGGGTGCCTAAGGAGTTAATTTGTGTCCCTTAAAAAAAAAGGCATGGAATCCAAAAACTTGTAAAAGGCCAGGATTTGTTTCCAAACATCATGGGTGTAGGATGGAATGGAATTTCAAGGCTGTATTTTACAAGGCACGAGAGATACAATTGCTAAGCTGTACTTTTTATTATTCCATTTCTAAATCATGAGTTGTTGACTTCCATAGTATCCCTGGCTTTTTATAGTTCTCGGGTGTTACATTGTTTTTCTTCAGCGAAATATTCCTCTGCCCAGAAAGGGGAAAAGAAATGTGTCCTCCAAGATCAGTGCCCTTTGTAGATTTTGTACCAGCAGAATTGCCTAGCAGGCCAGCACCTTTCCTGGCCAGGGCGCAGGTGTATGTCCTCTGTGAGGGGTGTGCAGTTTCTACACAGAGGGCCTGGGACCCAGCAGCCCTCCTCGTAGTGGCCTTGGCCAATGCGTGCGTGCAGGGGCCAGCTAGCAGCACTTAGTCACTGAACTCAGAGTATTTTTATCACATTCTCTGACATTCCAGAGTCCCTTAGAATTTGACTTTTCTGGTTTTGCTTATTTGATTAAAAGAGATGAATGTAAATATAAAAAAATGAAGGTGAAAGAATCCTTGGAAGTTTGTTTGGTTGCTTAATACTGTTCTATAACATCATGGGACACATGTTTTCAGTTGGATCGCAAGGCCTTGTTATAATTCTTTTTGGATAAAGAAAACCTATTTTATTTCCTTTGGGTTTGAATTAGCTCTTTCCTAGGAACATATTATCCCAGCTCGGTATCTGTCAAACAGAAAACTGGAGTCTGGGGTTTTGTTGTGATATGAATTTTTAAATTATTAATGCAAAAGGGGGAGCGGGAAGTTCAATAGTCAAAATATGTTTTGCACAGAGTTCACTGTAAATATCGTGAGAATAGAATTTTGAAAAGGTCATATTTAATAAGCTATTTCAAAAGCACACATTTAAATAAAGGCTGACTAAATAAATGGTACCACACACTCCTCCCTTGGTCGTTTTCATTTCTCTGTATGTCACGTGGCTGTGTTGGTGTCAAGGCTCCAGACGGGGACAGCCCCAGGCTAGGTGTTGTGGCCCCAGTACTTCCCTGAGTGCCACCGACCCGTGGGTCAGCAAGCCATGCTGATGAACTGCTGAACGCTTGTCTGTATGTAACCTGCCAACACCTCCCTACAGCTGGGAGTCAGGCCTGTTTCATATTTGAGAACAATGAGGTTCTGAGCACTTTAACAATCCCAGACCTACCTTGGGACACTCTAGCAAGTCCATGGTGGCCTGAGGCCAAATTCCTGTTATTTTTATTTTCTTTATCCTCCAGGCTGTGAGGTAGGATGGTCCAGGGCATGCAACCCAGTGGAACTCCCGGCTGCTTCCCGGGAGGCTCCTGGGCTGGGAGGGCCTAGTGCAAAGCCAGCCGGGACAGGGATCATAATGTTCTTGGCTGGGGCGCTCAGCTGGAGCCAGGCATCTGCCCAAGTGTTAGATTACTCTTGCGGAAAGGTTTAGGAGCACACGCCCCTGGTAAGCACTCTGGACTCCAGCCTCCTGGGTTCTTATTCTTAGCTGGCTCTGGGGGAGCAGTAAGTGTGCCCAGGGAGGGGCCATGGGCTTCCCACAGCCTCCGTGACCGGCACAATGGTCTGTCTACATGTCCCTGAGGCGGGCTGCTGCCAGCCACAACACACTGTGGGAGTCACACAAGCCCAGAGAGAGACAGCAATGAGGCAGAGGAAAATGGAGTGTTAAAATCCCCAGAATGCTTCTATGTGAAAACATAGTGGTTACTCGGTAGAAGCACGGGTCTTCTTAGTCTGTTATACATACTGGAGGAAATTAAGATTTTATGGTTTTACTTGTTTTACCATTTTGTCTAAAGGATTTTGCTACATATAGCATGAATTATTATCTTTTCATGGATTATTCTTCCTGGAAGGTTTTGGGTATTATAGAAAGGGCATGCTAAAGGGGATATGGTCTGAAACATACTTTAAGAAGGTTTTGAAAAGCTAAACAGGTCTGCCTAAGAAAATTGAAAGGATTGAAGATGGATGAGAACAGGATGTGACTTTGTTGTGAAACACCTGTGGTAAAAAACTAAAGCAAACCCCCAAGCAGGCATCTCACTGAGTCTCGGTGGGATGCAGGGGATGGTGTGCTACGGAGGTGAGCAGCTTGCTGCAGACCAGACAGCTGGCTGCAGAGCCAGGATTTAGGGACAGGGCTGACCCTGCAGTTCCCGTCTGGAACCAGGCTGCAAGGCTAGGCCTGCTCGCCACCTCTCGCCATCCACTCCCGGGACACACATTTCATTTCCTCACAGACCCCTGGAGACCGGGAATCCTGGATGCCAGGATTGGGAAAGATTTTGAAAGTTAGATTCACTCAAGGCGGAGGGTCCAACCAATTCCACTTGGTTGTCCGATGTTTGGGAAATCATATTAGGGAAGGGACATTTGATCCTGAATTTCTCTATCATCTTAAGCAACCCTTGGGCTGGACACAGGCCCTAATTTCAGGCTGCACTCCTGGCCTGCTCTTTTAGTTGGACACAGCATTAACTTAGATTTCCTGATAAGCGGGGTTGCTGCCCAGACATCCACTTCCCCATTCCCCAGTGGCCCAGAGCGGGTCTGGAATTTATGGTGGTGTGCACTGGACACCTGCCATGGGCACCCCCTTCCTCATCCCTCCTCAGGGAGGGAGACACACAGTGAATACCACCCTGAAAACACCAAGTCCACGGTCCCTTCATTGACCAGTGTCATATAGATGTGATCTAGTCACTTTGTGAGAGACATCTATACTAAAATGCTGTGGTCAAGGGGCCCCTTTGGGAGAACATGGCACTGTACATTAATTTATTTCTTAGGGAAGGTTAGCTTTAAAAAATTCAGAGCTTTAAAGTAGCCAAAATAATCTGCTTGTTCAACTGTTCATTCATTCACTGAATGTCTGTTGGACTCACACTCTGCTCTGGTTAGGCATCCTCAGGAAAGGACCCCTGAGTGACACCCCAGTAGCTATAGAAGTGGCCCCCATGTGGCTGTGGGAGCTGGGGGTCCTCAGCCTTTGTAAGTTGGTCCCCTGAAGCCTGAACCAGCAGGCTAAGGAGGACAGGCTCAAAGGACAAGCCCCAGAGGAAGAGCAGACCCCATGCCTTTTCTGTCTGCGAGGACCCCAGTGCCAGCAGAGGCCCGGGCCACCCAGACTAGGGAAATCCGAGGCATAGGGTGCAGGGAGCCAGGGACCCTCAACAGTCAACAGCAAGGGGGGCTGGAGGTCTGCAGCTATGCTGGCCAGTGGTAACCACACTGACCCCTACATCTTTTCACAGCTCACATGACTTGCTCTTGAGACCAGCCTTAACTCCTTACCTGCCAGGGAGGGAATTCTGGAAAGGCGTCCAGCCCAGTTGAGCTGACATACTGCAAAGCCCCACGGGAGGGGGCAACTGACCGTCTTCCATGGCCCTTTCCTGCCTCGAAAAGAGACCATGGACCTCTTCTCTTTTGAAATGACATCAACCCTGGAGAGTTTTGTGCTGAATGAATGGCTCGATGCAACCCTGGAGACAGCCACATCAGACTGAAGTCCACTGCTGGTTGTTTGACCTTGAGAATCACTGAGCCTCCATTTCCAACCTAAACAACAGGCAAAAAGAGTACCTACCTCATGGGACAGTCATGGAAATCAGTGATGGAAAGCCGTGCCCTGGCTGGCTGGGAGTGCAGAGAACCCCTCTGCTGCCCGGTGAGGCCCCACCTAGAGAGCCGGCTGCAGAGGGCTGGGCTGGGGCCTTGAATGCTGAGCCAGGGGCTTGATGTGGCCATTAAGGGAGCTGGCCAGGGAGGTGCAGAAAAGCAGTGAGCACCTGCCTGTCTGCAGCGGGTCCTCAAGTGGGGAGAGATGAGGGATGGGGCACAGCTGAGGGCCTGCTAATATTAACACCTGCTGATAACAGCTAATGCAGCCTTGGAGGTACCACCAGGCTCTGTTCCAGATACTTCAGGAGTATTACAGTCAGTTCTTGTACTGTGGTGTGTGTACTGTTACTATGCTGTCAACCTAAGTAACATCAGAGAGGTGCTTGCCCAAAGAAAATGTGT